ATTTCTTGGGCACAGGCGTCCCCGAGGCTTTGCAGCAGAAGGTTACGTTCTGGCCAGCCTCCCGCACTCGGGGCTCCGGGTGCTTCACCAGGTAGGGCTTCTCTGAGGGGCCAGGCGGCAAAGGTCGGGGCTCTGCCCTGACTCGGTTTCTCCCAGTGACTCTTCCCAAGAGCAGGTCCCTGTCCTCTCCCTTCTCCCAGGGACACCCTAGTTCCCCCCACACCTCCAGTGGCTGCACTCTGTCTTATTTCTTCCCAGTTTACCTCCGTGCTGGGATTTCCTCCCCAGTTCCTCAGCCCCCCATGGGCCTTGCTGCCGGGCCACTTACGCAGTTTATCAAGGACGATGGTAACCATGGAGACGGAGCCGTTGGCCCGGGCCGGGGCCATCCCTGCAGAGAAGCCATCCACGTGGGCCCTGACACTGGCCTGGCTGTCGGCACACACGCCAGGCACCCAGAAGGTTCCGTGGGCATCACTGGTGGCTATGGTTCCGGGCTGGTCTCGCAGGGAGACCCTGGCTCCTGGCAGCGGTTGCCCAGAGCGAGTGACCACAGAGCCCAGGAGGGTGTGGCCGGGGCACTCGCAGCTGTCAGGGCTGCACTCTGGGGAGACACAGAGAGGCAACAGGGCCGGAGGGGCCTCTACCTCCCTCTTGGGGAGGGCTCTCCGCTCAGTCAGCCACTCAACAAACACACCTGGAAGCAGCACACATTGTGGGCTCAGAGGCGTCAGCAGGGCCTGGCTTGGGAGCAGCCCTGGTGTGAGGGGGCATATGGGGCCCAGGGCTGTGCCGGGGAAGGGAATTGGGGTCCAGAGAGGTAGGGTGAGGTCCTGGAGGAGGGGCAGGAGAGGTGGGTCTTAACAGATGGGGAGGCCCCTCCCAGCAGGAGAGAAAATGTCCAGGCAGGGGCTGGGGCCCAAAAAGGGCTGCTTTCCAGGGCCGAGAACCTCTACCTCCCCTCCCAGTCCCGTGGTTTCTCCAGAAAATGGAAAATTCCACCGGAAACTTCAGGGCAGAGGCACCAGGAGGGCAGAGCCAGGCTGGATGGGGTGGGGACCCCAACGCCCTATTGGCCATCATGCGCCCCCACCCTGTGTCAGGCTCCAGACCGTGTTTGTGGAGCCCAGGCGAGCGGAATTTCCAGTCGCCTCCTGGCTGGCCTGGTGTCTGGCCCTGGGAGAGCCTGGGCATCGTGTCTGCCAGGGCGTGAGCGCGTGTCTGCGTGGGCGTGGGGGCCGGTGGGGCCGCAAATGCCACGCACGCGTGACCCAAGTGTACGAACCGACTTCTGTTTGCCCACGGAGCGTGCGCGCTCGGCAAGCACACCGGGGAAGCGCCTGTGGGGTCCGCCCGCCTGCCTCCCACGACCCCCGCGGCGCCCGCTCGTCCAGACGCGCAGGCCCCGGTGCTACTTGGGCCCAGGGGGGACGGAAGGGCCGGTCCCGACTTGGCTGGGAGTGCAGGTCCTCCAGGCCCGGCCTTCACGCCTCGCCTCTACTCTCCGGGCCCCGCCCCGCCCCACTAGGCACCGCCCCTCCAGATCAGGCCCCGCCTCCAACCCCACCTTCTCCTCCAGGCCCCGCCCCTCTACCATACGCACGGCCACGCCCCCGGGGCCAGCCCCTCCTACCTGGGCACCGCGCCCGCACACACTTCTGCGCCTCCAGGGTGCGCCCCGGACACGCGTCCCCTACGGGGCTCGGGCAGCGGCGGCGGCGCAGGCGACGGCCTGGCCCGCAGCTGCCTGAGCAGGGACCCCACGGGCCCCACGCGCCCCACGCGGTCTCTGCGGAGGCCAGGGAGGGAGGTCAGGCAGCCGCCCTCCCCGGGAACCGCGCCCCCGGAGCCTGGTGACAGTGCGGGACTGAAGGATCTCCCCCACCACACACGCACAGGTAGGTCCTAGGTTGGGGGCTTCGCCCACCGTCCCCTTCAGGCCTCCCCGCCGGGTGCACCTGTCCTGGATGCAGCTCAGGTGCCGCCCCGCCCCGCCCCCAGATAAACTCCCCGAAGTCAGTCCAGTCCCGCTGCTCTCCCTGCGTTCTGCGCACACCTGGGGCTCAAGACTCGCCAGGTGTCCTTGCCTTGCACCTTTGCCCCCGCCGGGCCCCGCCCCCTCGCTGAACCCCTCTCCGGTGGGGCCCCAGCCACGCCCACGCGGCCCCTCCCCACCCACCCCTTCAGGCCCCACCCCTCGCCGCCGTTGTCAAGCCCTTCCCCGCCCGCCCAGGCCCCGCCCTCACCGAGCGGGCAGCGGAAGCGCACGTGGTAGTTGGAGCATCGGCGGCCGCGCGGCTGCTCGCGGTTGAGGCACCAGAAGCCGCGCGCGGGGTTCACGTGCACGCGCTCGCCGACGGCGGACGGCAGCGCCCAGTCCGTGGTGCGCGCTTCCAGCGCCAGCGGCCGCGGGCACACGCGCGCAGGCCCGTAGTAGAAGCGGATGGCGGCCAGGCTCTCGAAGTCGCCGTCGCCTCCGGGGTGGTCCACGTTGAACCAGGAGGTCCACTCGCTGGGCTCTGCGGGCACCGCACGCGTGGGGCCCGGGCCGCAGCCTGTCGGCCCCATCGGTGGCGCAAGGCCTTACCTGCTGTCTGGGCCCCTCCGCCCACGACCCGACCCGGGTCCAGGGGTCTCGCGATGCGGGCGGGGAGGGGCGACCCCCGCCCCCGCCCCAGGTCTGCCGCGCGCGGTGCTGAGCTGGCCCGTCGTGCGCGCAGACAGCGTGCCCTGTCTGACACCCCCGACCCAGGTCTATTGGGGCGTCACATCCACGGGCGGCGGGTCCGGGGACCTGGAGGGTCCTGGCCCTTCTCCCAGTTGGTGTCCCCCACCACGATCCCGCCAGCCCGAGCCCACACCCCGAGTCCACAACGCAGGTGGGACTCGGGCCAGGCGGCCTCACCTTCCCAGTCCTCCAGGGCTAGTGAGGGCTGGTCGGGCTGCACCGACGGTCCTTCCAGGCCCCATGCAGTCCCCGTGGGCTCCTCGGTGGAGGTGGTGTCTGTGGGAGGGGTGAGGAGTGGGGGGAGCACGCTGAGGACCGCTGGAAGCCGCCTCTTAGGCAAGGTGGGTCCATGACCATCCCCATTTTACAGGGAGGAAACTGAGGCTGAGAGGCCAGAACCCAGGTCTAGCCCTGGGGACTGCAGCACACCCTCCTCCAGGAAGCCTGCCCACGGCCACCATCCAGACTCCTGCAGCCCCGTCCCTCTCTCTGACAGTCCCAACCCCAGGGGTTGGGGAGCCCAATGCACCCTGCTCCCAGAGCCTGGGGTCGCCCCCTGAGCGTGTTCCGCTGCCACCAGTTCAGGGCTTTCTGCCTCTGCCCTCAGGCTGGGCTCTGTCCACTGTCATCCTTTTGGCCAGCTGGAAGTCCTTCCCTCAGTTTACCTTCCGCCCCTCTAGTAAGGGGCCCAAGCTGGCAGCCAGAAGTCCTTGGCATCTGGCCTGGCTTCTCCAGCCAGGAGCTGTCCAGGACAGCCAGGGCAGGGCAGGGCGATTGCCTCAGACCAGTCCGTTCGTCCTCGGCGCCTCGGTCCCCTCCCCTGAGAAATGGGCCCCTTCCCCGCCCACCGAGCGTTCCAGAAACGGGCATTTCCTCTAGGCAGTGTGGGTGGGTGGGTTTAGGTGCGTGGGGGGAGACGGCTCTGACCCCTTCGACCCAGGACGGGAGACCTGGCGATCCCGGGCCAATCGCACGGGGCTGGGTCAGGTGCACCGAGGAGGTCCTGGGGACCCGGAGGAGCCCGGGGTTCTATCCGCCCTCCTGGCGCTCCTACCGCGTCTTAGCGGAGGGAAGAGAAAGGACGAGCTGCGCTCCCCACCCCGCGTGGTCTCAGGGCTCCACCTCCGTCGCCACCCGCGTCCCCGCATCCCCTTGCGGGTGGCGGGGACCCCGTCCCGGGGAGCGCGCGGCCCCTTGGTTCTCTCCCCGGGCGCAGCGGCACCGGAGGCCGCGGCCAGGCCTTCGGGGACTGGGCCGGGCTCGGGCGGCGCCTCACCTCGGGCCCCCACCAGGTGCGCGGCGGCGACGCAGAGACAGAGCAGGGACGGCAGTGAAGCCATGGCTCGGTCGGAGCGTCCAGGGGAAGGTCCGGGCTCCGCGGCGCGCTCCGGTCCGACTCCGGCGGGTCTGGCAGCCCCTGGGACTGAGGGCGGGGGCGGGAGGCGCCCGCAGGCCCCGCCCCATCCAGGTCCCGCCCCCTGGCCCGGGTGACGGGCGCCGGAGCAGCCCCTCTGGGTCGCCCCCTTGGTGCGTCCGGCTGTGCCTCCGCCCCCAGCCTGGCCTGGGTCCCCGCCTCGCGGCTGGAACTCCTCCCGGAGCCCACCCGCCGTCCTCCACGTCGGATCCCGAGCTGCCCGCAGGAAAGGCCACTTGCAATCGAGCCTGAGGCTGCCCGGAGGCGGCTGGAGTCCTCCGCGCGTCCGACTTCGATCCGCCCGCTCAGGCCGCCCCAGCCGTCTGGGAGTCCCCCCCAAGGCCACCCTCCGTTCTTCCGGCTCGAGTTCTCTCAGAGGCCGGCGGGGAGTCCCCCCCTACAGCCACCCTCGGCGGGGCCGGTGGGGAGTCCCCCCTGCATCCACCCAGGGCCAGCGGGGAGTCCCCCCCTACAGCCACACGGGCCGGCGGGGAGTCCCCCCCTACAGCCACCCGGGGCCGGCGGGAGTCCCCCCCTACATCCACCCAGGGCCGGCGGGGAGTCCCCCCCTACATCCACCCGGGGCCGGCGGGGAGTCCCCCCCTACAGCCACACGGGCCGGCGGGGAGTCCCCCCTTACAGCCACCTGGGGCCGGCGGGGCGTCCCCCCATACAGCCACCCGGGGCCGGCGGGGAGTCCCCCCAATACAACCACCCAGGGCCGGCGGGGAGTCGCCCCCTACAGCCACCCTCGGCGGGGCGGCGGGGAGTCCCCCCATACAACCACCCGGGGCCGGCGGGAGGCCCCTCCTGAGCGCGCCCACCCCGCGGCGACCCGCACAAAGGAGGCGGAGGCGAGGCGGTGGGGCAGGGGCTGTTTATTGGCGCGGGTCCGGGCGGCGGGGCGCGGGTCCGGGCGGTCACAGCGCCGCCACGCAGTCGGTGCCCGTGTAGCCCGGCAGGCGCAGGGCGAACTTGCGGCGCACGTCGTCGGGCACGAACCTGCCGGCCACGAAGTGGTGGCGCCCGGAGAAGCGGCCGGCGCAGCGCTTGGGCGCCGCGAGCGACACCAGCACGTCGGGCCGCAGCCCGTCTTCGGCGTCGCCGCCCGTCTCCGCGTCCCAGCCTGGGGGGGGGAGCGGGAGCTGGGAGGGTGGCCCGGCCCCCCAGCACCGAGTCTCCCCCTCCTTGAAGACGTTTCCCCCGAATGACCCCGCCCCCCTCTTCAGACCGACAGAGCGGGGTCTGCCTTCTGACCTGGCACCGTCCGCGCGCCTCCCTGCCCACCCATCTAAGAGCCTCTGCCTGAGACTCAGCCTCCTCCCACCAGAACCCACCCAGACTCCAGCCTGGCCCTCTGGCCGCGCCCTGGGGCAAGCCGTCCCCATCAGCCCGGCTGTCCCTTTGCCCCACCTTCTGGCCTCTAACGGGACCCTACCCCTCCCCACTCAGACTAGACACTCCTGCGGACCTGCGGGCCCTGCCGCCCTCCCGGGGCTGCAGCCCCGCCACCTCTCCAATGCGCTTTCAGTCTAGCGGCCTCGCCTTCTCGCCTGCCTCTGACCCGATTTGGGGGACACTAACCCGAAGCCACTGGCTCCTCTCTCTGACTCTAATCCCTTCCTCTCTGACGCTGGCCTCCACCCGCAGACTAGGGGCTCCTAACAGCTCCCTCTGACCTGACGGCACCCCGTGTCCTAGGCTGAGCCTGCAGCCTCCCCTCAATCACACAGCCCACCCCTCCCTTAGCGCCCCCCTACTCTGTGGCCCCCCGCTGGGATGGCTCTGGGATCCTGAAAGCTGGGGGACATCCCCCAGAGTCCGGCCACCCCCACGGAGGGTCCGGCTGGCCAGCGGCTGTTTATTCCGTCTGCCCGTCGCCTAATGGCTCCAACAGGCGCGGGGCGGCGGCCAGGGCGGGCGAGGCCTTTGCCGAGTGAGCTCACGTCTGCCCAGGCGACTGGGCCAGGGGTGGGCAGAGGGCATGCGGGCCGGGCACAGGCGGCGGCGGAGACCTGGGGTCACCTGGGGCAGCAGCCTTGGTCTTCGCCATCTGCAGGGCGGGCGTGACCCCGGGCGCAGCCAGGGTGCACGCTCCGTCCAGCTGGGGAAACGGGTTCGGAGCAGGCAGAAGGGCGGGGGCCACCGGCAGCTGGGGCACAGGGGCCTCCCCCCAAGCCCCCCACGCGCCCCCTCTGCCCGGCATGCCTGAGGGAATGTCCAGGCTCACGAGAGGGATGGACAACAGCTTGAGTGTGGCCAGCGCTCGGGTGCAGGGGCCCCCGACCTCGCCGGGCTCCACGCCGGGGCCCAGCACAGCGTCCACCACCAGCCCGTAGGCTTCGTTGATGAGCTGCACCTGGAGGGGTGGGCAGGGTCAGGGCGTGGCCTTGGGGCGCTGTCCCCCGCCTCCACCCTCACATGCCGCCCAGCACTGACCTCGGTGGGCAGGTACGACAGAAAAGGAATGTCCATCTTCTCGCACTGGGTGGTCAGGTCCCGGTGCAGCAGGTCCAGTGAGCGTGTGGGGTAGAAGATGGTCGGCTCGTACTCCTGGGGGTGCAGAGAGTGGTCAGCGCCGGGGCCCACCCAGGCTGCCCTGCCCTGGTAACCGGCGACAAGCACTGGGCATGTTCCGTGACCTGTCCCAGCACCAGTGTCCCTCTGGGACGCTATCAAGAGAAGGAATGGGCCGGGCGCGGTGGCTCACGCCTGTAATCCTAGCACTCTGGGAGGCCCAGGCAGGCGGATTGCTCAAGGTCAGGAGTTCAAGACCAGCCTGAGCAAGAGCGAGACCCCAAATAGAAAGAAATTAATTGGCCAACTAATATACATAGAAAAAAATTAGCCGGGCGTGGTGGCGCGTGCCTGTAGTCCCAGCTACTCGGGAGGCTGAGGCAGGAGGATCGCTTGAGCCCAGGGGTTTGAGGTTGCTGTGAGTGAGGCTGACGCCTCGGCACTCTAGCCTGGGCAACAGAGGGAGACTCTGTCTCAAAAAAACCCCCAAAACCAGAGAAGGAATGATTTCTGCTGGGACAGGGACGCAGGGAGGCTGAGGGGCTCCTTGCTACTCACAAACACCCGCAGGTGCCGGGCGCAGACCAGCCCCACAGCCCCGTTCTGCTCTGGGCCACACACGACCAGCACCGTCCTCTGCTTCCGGGAGAGAGCCGGCAAGGGGAAAACCTGGCGGGAGCACAGCAAAAGCAAAAGCACGACTCGAGATTCCTCTTTGCTCAAGTGGGGAAACTGAGGCCCGGAGGAGGGGAAGGGACGGGCCTTGGGCCTGGAAGCAACGGGATGAGACAAAAGGAGAGACACTCTGGGTGAGGGGCTGGGCCTCTTGGGGCCTCAGTTTCCCTGTTGGAGAGGCAGAGTCCCAGTCTCAGGCTCTGCCAAACCAAAGCAGGAAAAACATGCGTCCAGCCACTGCCTGTCGCCTGGAGTGCGGTTTGTTTACTCTCTGCCTGAGCCAGACATTCTTCCACCTTTTTCCACCCCATGGCTGCCCCTCCCCCGCCTTGTGTCCAGACCTCAGCCCTTCCCGGAGGCCCCAAAGCGCCTGGTGCCTGTCTCTCTCCGTCTGTGTCTCTGTATCTCTCAGACGCCGTGTCTCTGTCTCTGTTTTCACCTGTGTGTCTCTCTGACTGTCTCTCCCCATCAAATCTCTGCATCTCTCTTGGCCTCTGTCTCCATCTGTCACACTATTCTGTCTCCGTGGACACGTGCAGCTCTTTCTAACACAGGTGTTTGAGTCCCAAGCCTGCCCTGACTCTGCATGGCCCTGGCCCCGTCTTTCCCGGCCTCAGTTTCCCACTCAAATGGGAGTGACAATGGCACCAGCCAGGCAGGCACGTGGGGCACCTCCCGAGCCCCAGTGAGGTCCGGCTCCAGCCACACAGAGGGCAAATTATTCTCGTTCTGAGTGTCCTCCCCTTGGTCCCAGTGCCATCCTGCCCTGCCCTGCATGTGCCTGCGACCCCAGCCACGCCAGGCCCAGAGGCCAAGACCCACGGCCACGTTCTGCCAGCTGGGACGCGGCTTCTGCATGGGGGACGGGTTTCAGTGTGAGAACTGGACAGTCGCACCGAGCACCAGTTTATACACTGGGTTTCTTTTGGGGCTTTGATTTTAACAGTTTCCTCCTCCTCTGGGCATCGTGCCCAGGACACGTTTCATTTGGAAATATAAACATTTAAGTTAAGAAAAAATTGAGTCCAGGCCAGGCACGGTGGCTCACGCCTGTAATCCTAGCACTCTGGGAGGCCAAGGAAGGAGGATCGTTTGAGCTCAGAAGTTCAAGACCAGCCTGAGCAAGAGTGAGACCCCGTCTCTACTAAAAATAGAAAGAAATTAATTGGCCAACTAAAAATATATAGAAAAAATTAGCCGGGCATGGTGGGACATGCCTGTAGTCCCAGCTACTCAGGAGGCTGAGGCAGGAGGATTGCTTGAGCCCAGGAGTTTGAGGTTGCTGTGAGCTAGGCTGACGTCACGGCACTCACTCTAGCCCGGGCAACAGAGTGAGACTCTGTCTCACAAAAAAAAAAAAAGAAAGAAAAGAAAAAATTGAGTCCATGTAAGAAGGACACTGAGTTTTTTAAGAAGTACACGGTGGGAATAAGGAAAAGGAGCAGGGCAGCCGTGTGCGGGGCCCTCACCCCACGGGACACTGTTCCGAGGGGCGTGTGCTTCTGAACTGCTACGTCGGTACCACCGATTACCTGTTCAGAGGATGACACTGAGGTCTGGCATGGTTGGGGGGCAGCCCTGCTTCTAACCCACTGTGACCCTGGGCAGGTCCTTCCCACTTCCACTGAGGCAGGTGGGCCTCAGTTTCCCCACCTGCAGCACAGGGTTGTTTGAGGATGCTCAGACTGCAGGAGCCAATGTCACCCCTGCCCAAGCTCCAGAGGGTGGCGGAAGCAAGCGGGTCACATCTGCAGGGGGGCCTGGTATCTCCACCTCAAGGGCCTAGGCACCGTCCACATGATAGCCCTGCCCTGACACCATGGGTCTCAGGTCCCTGTCTGGGCCGGACCAGTGATGGTCCTCTTGGGGCCTCAGTTTCCCCATGTGAACCATGGGCTGGGGTAGCTGGAAGCAAAGAAGGGCTCCTTGAAGGCTGAGCCACCCTAGCCACGCGGGCCATGCAGATAGTCCTCCACCTGGGTGGGTCGGCCCTCCGGTTGGGATCTGGGGTGGGGGTCAGGGGTCAAGGGTCAGATACCTTGGTCACAGCCACGGCACTAGCATGGCCGCACAACTCCACTAGCTGCTGCCGCCCGAAGCGATAATCCTCCAGCAGCTCCCGCTCCAGGGCGGCTGCCTCCGCGGCGCTGGGGGGCAGAGTGGCAGGAGACGTCCGGACTCAGAGAGGAGAGATGGGGGAGAGGGACGCGGACGGAGCCAGGAACATTCCGCCAATGTTCCAAGCCAGGTCCCGAAGCCACCCTCCCGCCCGCTTCCCCAGAGGCTTCCACAGCCCCGAGGATCCTCCCTCAGTTTCCCCCCACACCCCGCGAGCGAATGGAAGCGCGGCCTGGGCGCGGGCGCCCTCTGGTGGCGGAAGATGCGCGTGGCGGGCAAGCGCGGGAGACCGAGCCCACCTAGACCCCCGGGTCCCCTGCCGGGAAGGAACCAAGGAGGGGCAATGGAGCGCGAAGGACGTCGCCGGGGGCGACGGACTGATTTCAGGCAGTGGGGTCACTAAGCGAGCTTCAGGACGCCTCGGGGGTCAGACTGTACTAGAATTTTAAAAGCTGCAGAGGGGTTTGATGCTTCCTCCAGGAGGAGGGTGTGGGACCCGCGGCTATGAGATCCTTTTGGGACCCCTCCTCAGGGGCAGTGATGAAATTAGATTATTTGTGGCCAGAGAGATGGGGCCCCCTTGCCCGAGGTCAAGCTCTGCCACCTACTTTACTGAGTGCCTGGGGTCTGTCACTACCTCTCTGAGCAAAACCAGAGGTGGGATGGAGGCTCTCGTTCTAAATTAGGGCTTGGTGGCTGCAGAGAGCAAGAGATGGCATTAAAGTTGTCCTTCTCTCCAGAACCAGGGGCTGCGGCTGCTGAGTGGGGTCTAAGACCTGAGGCCACCTTCCCGCAGGCAGGGCCCTTCCCTTCCTGCTGGGCAGTAGCACTGAATCCCTTGCTCCCGGCCCAGCAGCCCTGGAGAGTGTAGTAACAGTCATAGAAGAGCCCGGCCCAGAAGAGTTGGAAGAACAAATAATGACTCAGAGAAGCCGAGTGGCTTGCCCAGGGTCACGCAGAAAACAAGTGGGACAGCTTGGACTTCCCCCCTCGGTGTCCCTGTCTAAGAGCAAAGATACAGATGGCGGGGATTTGGTGCAATGAATCCTGAGGGGTTCCATCCTTCAATTCTGCACGTGGGAGATGACAAACATCCGGCTGATTCTGCAGCATGATCAGGCTGGGTGGGCAGAGTGCAGAAGAGGGAGACCTGGTATGGGACAGGAGTCAGGGAGGGCTTCCTGGAGGTGGTGGACTGAAGCATCATGGGAGGTTATCCAGGTGGCAAGAATAGCGAGGGCTGAGGCCCTGTGGTGGGAGGGAGCCTGGTGTGTTTGAGGGAGGGAGGGTGGGGTGGCGAGAGCAGACTCAGCAAAGGGACAGGGCAGGCAGGGCCTCAAACGCCAGGCTGAGAAACGTGGCCAGGAGGACACTTCAGGGACCCACACAGATGGGGGAGAGGGAGGTTCAGGGCTGGGAAGTCACATGCCGTGGGTCACCCCAGCAGGCAGAGCCGGATTCAAATGTGGGCCTGTCTGTGGCCGATGTGGGACGAAGTTGAAGGACTGGGTGGGAAAAGGAGCTCATGGCAAAGCCAGGCAAAGAGCGCCCCCAGCAGGCCAGCCCAGCTCTGGGGAAGGAACATGGGAGAAGCGGTGATCCAGTTCCAGGTGAGGAACCTGGCGGGTGGGGAACATGGCTCATTCCTCCACCTTCGTCTTATGACAGCTCTGGCTGCTGCCCCCGCAGGAGGGTTGGGGGAGAAGAAAGAGGAGGGTGGTAGGACCATCCATTCCCCCTCTCCTTCTTCAGTCTCAAAGCTTTGGCCTCTGGCAGCCACTCAGAACATTATCTTCCTGCCCAACTGTTCTGTGCTGTGGGCAGAGGGTGGTCCAGGCTAGGAGCCTGGCCGGGGTGCGGGGGGCAGCTCTGGGTCAGGTAGAGAGGGAGATGGGGGAGGATGAAAGATGGGGGAGGTTGGTCCTGCCATTGTGGGATTCTGGGGGACTCAATTATGAGGGTGCCTTTGCTACCCCCAAACTGAGCCCCCAGATGGGAGAAGCTGCAAGGCCCCAGGATTTCCCCATCACACCCAGAAGGGCTGAGGTGACCTGGGTCCAGAGGGAACTGGGCCTGACACTCCAGGAGGGCCCTGAGCAATAGAGGGTGCTTTTTTGTTTTTAAGAGACAGGGTCTCCCTCTGTCACCCAGGCTGGAGTGCAGTGGTGCAATCACAGCTCACTGCAGCCTCCAACACCTGGGCTCAAGTGATCCTGCTGCCTCAGCCTGCCAAGTAGCTGGGACGACAGGCGCGAGCCACCACATCCGGCCAAGGGGGCCCTTTTGGAAGTGAGCCCAAGTCAGGATGCCCATGCCACCCAGCCCTGCACTCTCCACCTCACACCTCAGCCCAGTGGACCACCCACCAACCACAATTGCTCACCTGGCCGCCTACAACAGTCTAGCCCGGAAACTCCTCCTCAGCAAGAGCTGTGGGGGCTTTGAAAACCTGAACACTAGATTGCAGCACCCGTCCGAAACCTTCTGAGGGCCCCCCAGTGCGTGGGGAGCAAACTCCATGCCATGCCCACAAAGCCCCGTTGTCTCTCGCCTCATCACCTGTGGTCCCCCGTCCCCCTCGCTGGGATCCAGCTCCTACCCCCTCCCAGTTAAGTCCCCGCACTTGGCATTTGAATGAAGCGTTTCCACCAGGTGGCCACAGCTCCAGCTCCTAGAACTCTCCCCTAGGCTGAACGTGGACCTCAGGCGATGGGCAAGGGGACGGAAGGGGGGCGGAGGGCACGTGGGCAGGGGCTGTCGGACGGATCGGGTTTATGGCGAGGCCCACTACCCTGCGGGTCCCACGTCAGGAAGGCTTGCAGGACGCGGGAGAACTCGGGGTGAGCGGGGAGTCACAGCCACAGCTGCCAGCTCCGGACCCCAAACTCACCAGCCCGCGGTCCCAAACCGGCTCTAGCCGTGACTGCCCTCCAGGAGTCCCCTGTGCACACGGGAGGTGGAGCACGCCAAGGGGTCGCGCAAGGCGTTAAGCTCAGCTCTTCCCAGACGGGGGACTGGGGGCTGCGGGGCCCGGGCTGGGGTGATGGCAATGACGGGCGGTGCTGATGAGTCACTCGCGAAGGGCAGGCCGGCCGCGGATGCAGTTTCCTTGGCAACGCGGCTTAGTCTCTCCAGCGAGACGTCGGTGGGCCTCGCTCTCCCCTGCATCCTCCCGCCCCCGCCACGCCCTGCCTTCGCCCGGGACCGTCTCGGCCAGGTCCCTGCCTGGGGCCCCCTCCGCGCCCCCGGGCCGTGCCCGACCCCGTGCCCCGCGCTCCGGCTGACCTGAGGAAAAGCCGCTCCTCGGGCGCCTCCGCCGGGTCCGGGCCGGCCGCGCTGCTCATGGCCGCGGTGCGCGGCGCCCGCCGCCGCCGCCTTATACGCGGTCCCGGGGAGGGGCGCCCCCGCCCACCCTCGGGCCGGCCAATCGCGAGGCGCCGCGAAGGCGCTGCGCGCCCCCATTGGTCGGCGGGTGCAAGCGGCCGTAACCCTTTAGTGCCGGAGCAGAGCCCGCGGGTGCGGGGAAGCCCAGACACCGATGCTGGCAGGGAAACGGAGTCTGGAGCGGCCGCGACGGGCAGGACACCTCCGTAGGGACCCCGGCCTGAGAGCAAGGGACGCCCTCCGCAGCCAACCCCTCCAGGGCTCCCCAACCCCGGGCCCCGCGGAGGCGGTCCATCCAGGGCTGACCCCGGCGAGTGGGCTCCGACAGGCAGGCTTCAGTCAAGGAGGTATAAAAATCCGGGTATATCTGGGAGCTGAAGCCAAGGCTGGTGGCAGATCCAGGGACAGCCCATGGGTGTTTTGAGGTCATCCCGCATCGCATCTTCTGCCAAGTGTGACCCTGCGCCACGTGTGACCCGGTGGTGCCAAGCCGGCCGTCCCTTCCCCCCACCCCGCTCCAGGACACAGGCAGGCAGGGTCTTCAGAGTATTTATTCTCTCCCAGTGCGGAGGGGCGGGGCTCCAGGCCGTCCGGCACAGGCCCTACGTGTGACCCATGAAGCCGTAGTTGGCGTTGAGAATCTCCTCCATGGTGCGCAGCCCGTACAGTTCGCCCACCATGGGGGTCACCCAGCGTGTTGTGTGGAACACGGACTCACCCACCTGTGGGGACAGTAGGGTATGGGTGTGGGCACAGCCGCTCCCACGTGGCCTGCTGGGACACCCCCACACACACCTAGGACCAGTGGCCCCTGTGTGTGGGCCAGGAGCTCTGCGCGCCCTTCCCCGCCTTGGACCTGGCAGCCACCACCCCTCGGTCCCTGGTTTTCCGTGAGAGGCTGTGTGAACCCTCCCGGCTCCGTTTCTGCAGTGGCTAGGACCCCTGCCCCCCAACCGGGGACCCACCTTCCAATCGGGCACATCCTTCATGATGATGGCTTCCTCCTCCAGGTTCTCCCGAAGCATCTGCAAGACCCTGCAGGGGTGCGGACAGTGGCGGAAGTGGGTGAGGACCTGGAAGGGGCCCTCCTGAGCACACCTGCCAGCTACCCATCTCCAAGTCCCCCTATCTTCCTTTCCTCCCCCTAGCAAACTCTACCCTTTCTCCTGCCCCAGCCCTAATGCCCTCTCCTCCAGGAAGCCTTCCGGTTCCCCGCCACTGCAGGCTGGGGCCTTCGGTCCGAGACCTCCGGGCACTGGCGGAGGCGCCCTACCTCCGGTCCGACTCCGCCTGGAGCAGGGGCAACAGCGCGATGCGGGCCTCCAAGTCCTCGATCAGCAGGCGCCTGCGAAACCCCAAAACCCACACTTGGGTCAGACCAGGGCGGGAAGGAGGCATAGAGGACTGGCCCTCAGACATCCCGGGTGCTGCGTGGGAAAGGGGTGAGGGGAGAGGCGAGGAGCTGGGGGGAGCCAGGGTGTGGAGCCTGGGAGGCAGGCCAGCGTGTGGGTGGGGCGGGCAGCTGTGCAGGCGACTGCCCACAAGACTGTTGGCTTCACACTTTCTTTGCGATTAAAAACTTTTTTATCCTAAAAATAGGCCTGCCTGGTGATTGCAGTGAAGGGGGTGGGGACTCATCACGGGCTCTGGGCCTTACAAAACCACGTCCCCTTCATCTCAAAATAACCACAGGGCGGGAGGCCAGGGCAGGCCGCACCATTCCTGTCTTCTCCCTGCTTTCTGGCAGTTTCCAAGTTCCCTGCAACAAGCCCCAGCCCCATTTGTGCTGCAGGGGCCTGGCAGGAGGAGGGGGGCGGGGTTGGGGAGGCAGCATCCAGTGATGCAGTCCCAAGAGTGGGCTCTGGCCTGTCTTTTTTTTTTTTTCTTTTGTGGAGACAGAGTCTCCACAACTCTGTTGCCCAGGCTAGAGTGCCATGGCGTCAGCCTCAGTCACAGCAACCTCAAAGTCCTGGGCTCAAGTGATCCTCCTGCCTCAGCCTCCCGAGTAGCTGGGACCACAGGCATGCGCCACCACGCCCAGCTAATTTTTTCTATATATTTTTAGCTGGCCAATTAATTTCTTTCTATTTTTTAGTATAGATGGGGTCTCACTCTTGCTCAGGCTGGTTTCGAACTCCTGACCTTGAGTGATCCTCCTTCCTTGGCCTCCCAGAGTGCTGGGATTACAGGCGTGAGTCACCACGCCTGGCCTTGGCCTGTCTTCTTGCCTATGACACAAGGACGGGGAGGGGGTGCCTGGCCTTAGTCTCTCTGGCCCTTCATAGCCACCGCCTCATGTGGTCTGATTTCTAAGCCCTTACAGGGTCTTGTTCTATTGCCCAGGCTGGAGTGCAGTGGCCCAATCATAGCTCACTGCAGTCTCTTGGACTCAAGTGATCCTCCTGTTTCAGCTCCCCGAGTAGCTGGGACTACAGGCGCAGTGACTACTGGCTAATTTTTAAATTTTTTTATAGAGATAGGGTCTTGCTATGTTGCTTGGGCTGGTCAGCTCACTGGACATTTCTTTTTTATTTTTATCTTTTGGTTGAGACAGAGTCTCACTCTGTCACCCGGACCAGAGTGCCATGGCGTCAGCCTAGCTCACAGCAACCTCCAACTCCTGGGCTCAGGGGATCCTCCTGCCTCAGCCTCCTGAGTAGCTGGCACAGACTGCGCCCGGCCCGCTGGACATTTCTTGAGGGTAAAGTGCAAGTGCTGGGTCAGAGCCTGCACTTCCTGAGGTCTGAAACTGCACGGCCAAGGCCAAGGGGGACCTCCCCACCCTCTCCAACACGGGCAGCACCGCTGCAACGGACACCAGGGTCCCTCTGGCAACCTGACACGGGGGCACTTTTCCCACAGTGCCCCACCCGGGCACCCTACCTGCGCTCGCGATTCCACTTCGTGATGCTCCAGTACCCGAAGAGCAACGTCCCGATGCCTATGGCCAGCATGCTGTAGCCTGCAGAGAGATGGAGGCATCCGTTCAGCACCGAGGACAGGGGTCCCTCCCTGGGACACCCCCATCAGCAGCTCCCAGCTGCCACTGCTGCTGTCACCTGCTCTGCAGTCAGGGGACACTGGCAGCTTTTCTCTGCCTGAAGTTTGACACCTATGCCCCTGTGCCGGGCCTTCCGGAAAGTACAGGCCAGGCAGGGCTGCAAAGGACCGAGGGTATGGATGTTAGTGGTTGGGCGGCCCCGGCTCTGCCACTGCAGAGAAGGTTGTTTGGACCCCGGTCATCAGGGGTCCCCATCTGGAAGGGTGGCTCCCGGCTGCCCACAGGGGGCTGCACGTGGCTGCCAAAGACAGGCAGTGCCCTTTAAGAGCTACCCAGCCACCCCCTGGGCTCCAAGGGTGGCACTGCCACCTCCTGGCCCTGCGGGGCCAAGCCCCCTGCCCTGCACCCCGTTGGGGGGACAGAAGCCACCATGAATATTTACTGAGCACCAGCGGAAGCCCGCTATAATCCTAACTGACAGGCTGAGGGCCCACTGGGGGCTTCCGGGGAGGCCTTGGCCACCTGAGGTCTGGCTCCCAGGCCCGTCCCACACCCCCCAAATCTTTTGAGTCTCAGTTTCTTCTCTGGATGAGCCTCCTGGTTGCCAGGAGGAATCAACAAGCTCAGACAGGCTGGCGTCCAGTTAACACCAGTAAATGACCAGCGGGTGGTGGGTGTGTGGCCATCCCTGGGCTCTGCTCTGTGCCCACGGGGCTGCCAGTGTCCCCGCCTGCTCTTCCTTCTTTACCCAGCTCCCGCACAGGGCTGGCCCAGCACCTCTGCTAGATCCAGAGATAAATGAGGCACTGGCTCAACTTTTTTACCCACTGAATTCAACATGTTAAAAACAGGAGCTCAGGGGCAGACATCTCTGAGTCATGGGGGCTGGGGGTGGGACAGTAAGGGTGCCCTGGGTCCAGGCTCAGAGGCACAACCTCTCCAGAGAGGCCTGGGGCAGGGGGTGCCCAGGACCTGCTCCCAGCTGGCCGCCTGCGCCGGACACTAGCCTGCTCGTCACTAGCTGGGACTTTTTGCCAGAGCAGCCTCATTCTTTTCAACAGCCTCAGAGAACCCGGGTCTGTGTCTCAGGAGCTGTCAGTCTGGCTGGGGAGGTGGGGAGAGGCACGCAGAAAACGGCGTGGGGGTCATTCTCAGAGACCTAGATACACGGAAACACGTCCCGTGTCCATGATCGGAACACTCAGCACTGTGCAGATGGCAACGTCCCCAAACCGTCCCCAAACCGATGTAGATTCGGGGTGCAACCCCCACCCAAATCGCAGCCTTTTCTCCCTTCTTTCTCTCACAGAAATTGACAAGCAGGTTGTGAGATTCGTATGGAAATGAAAGGGACCAGAATAGCTCAAACAACTTGGAAAACAAAGTTGGAGGATTCGCACTTCACCATTTCAAAACTCATCACACAGCTGTGTGTACAAGACAGCGTGGCACCGGCGCAGGCATGCTTGCCAATGGAACAGAACTGACGGCCAGAAACAAGCCCTCGTATTCATGGTCGATTGATTTCGGATGGGACAATTCAATGCAGGGAAAATAGTCTTTTCAACAGACGGGACAACTGGACAGCCAAATGCAAACAACCGACCTGTGAACCTTCCTTATCCCATACACAAAAGTGAACTCTAAGTGGGTCAAAGACGTAAGAGTAAGAGGTAAAACTGTAACACTCTTAGAGAAAACATAACAGTCACTGTGACCTCGGATGAGGCAACGGTTTCTAGGATATGACACTCCAGAGGCACAAGGAACAAAAGGAAAAAGAGATAAACTGGACTTCGTGGAAATTAAAAACTTTTCTGTTGCAAATGGTACCATCAATTAGCTGAAAACCCACAGACTGGGAGCAGGTATTTGCAAATCATTTATCTACTAAGGGAATGGCATGCAATATACACTCTTACAATTCAGTAATAAAAAAAAAGCCCAACTAAAAAATGTATAAAGGATTGAATAGACATTTCTCCAAGACAGATATATAGATGACAAAGAAACATGTTGAAAAGATGCTATGGAGTTATTACAGTAATTTAAGCAAAATGAAGCCTTGGGTCAGGAGCTAGTTTTGGAACCAGAAAAGAAGAAAATTTCTTTAATGTGACACAAGAAAAAATCTGCAGGACCTGAATAAAGAAACAAGTTTATTTTTGTCTCTCTGTCGCCTCGGCTAAAGTGCAGTGGCCTGATCGTAGCTCACTGCAGCCCCGGACTCCCGGCCCTCCCGAGTAGCTGCAACTAAGCATCCTCCTGCCTCAGCCTCCCAGAGTGTTGGGATTGCAAGCGTGAGCCACCGCGCCCAGCCCCAACACACTTTAAATGGGTGAGCAGTATGGTATGGTACGGTATGTGAGTCTCTAGAATAAAGACACAAGATATAAAGGAAAGGGCTACCTGCCGGGCTCAGGAGGAAGTGGAGAGAGGAG